TTCTGCTATTGAAGTAACTAAGATGTATTTTGAGATGAGAGTCAAATTACACATGTATAATTAAGTACAGATGTTCAATACCAGCTAGTCAAAAGAATGCACAGCTAGTGAAAAATGTGCTATAATAGGAATAAATGCTTCAGCCTCAAGTTCTTTGACCAGAGATCACAAACTGCAGAATCTGTAAGTCAAGTCATTGCTACTCCTGTTTTCTGCTCTGCCTTTGAAGACCCTGCATGGGCATCACCAGCCCCTTGGTTTCCGTGAGCACACCAGACCCTGAGGAAAGCAGAAAATCAGATTGACTCAAAACTGTTGTCACAATGCAATATTTGTAAATAAGCCATCTTCGCTGTCAAGACTATTTTCCCTATGCTTGTCACATACATTAACAATATGAGATTGTTTAACTCTCAAAAGAAAACAATGATGTTAGCTGGAAATTTTTCACTGAAGTGACCAAAAATGTAATAGAAAGCCTTCACAATTATATGGTAATTAGTTTAAATTGAGAATACCAATTTTAATGCATCTGTTYAAATGTTTCCTACTGATTCTGTATGTAATAGCCAAGATTGCCGTAAAGAGGTCTTAATTTAGAAGCATGTTGTCTTCCTGCTGTAGACTTTGATTGCTTTTCTTTTCATCAAATAGTTTTTCTGTGTTTCATGAAGAAAAGGGGAAAGGCAGAATGCCAGTGTCTGCAAGGCTTGGGTTTATAGCCACCTCAGTGAAAAATGCCCATTGGTAAAACAGCTTAGGGTCTGTCCAGAAGTCTCCGTGTCATCAGATTTGGCCCCTTCTTTGAGATCACCACATTTTTCACATAATCTTTCTTCTAAGTTTGACCCCAGCACTCCAGTGCACGTGAGGGCTCCAGACGTTACAGCTGTCACGATCAGCACCCACTTTCTAATTTTCAGCTTCTGTCTATGGCAAGTGCAATGGTTGTTGGTGGGACAGTGCAGGCCCAAACACCTTTGCCCTCCTAGCACTGTCCACAGGGCCTGCAGAGGATCATCACATCCTTGGCAGTAGTGGGAGAGAGAGCTGGTGCTTGTTCTTGATACAAGATCTCACCAGAGCCTTGAGTAATGATCTTAATATTCTGGTGGCTAGGCCAAATATGCTGCATGTCAGATATTTCCTACATCAGTTTAGTAACACAGTGGAATTGGAGGGTCTTCAACTTTTTAGCCCTGACTGTGACTTAGTAGAGCACAGCAGAAACATGGTCCAGATATCCATGATMTTTCCTTCATCATATATCCAGCCTCTATATCTGTTCTTCACCCAGGCCAGAAATCAACTACGAAGTAGACTCCCTGCTAAACAAGCTCTCCTGATTGTTAGCTGCCCCTTGTAAAAGAACCTCTGCAAACACAAATCTCCTCTGCTTCTCCTGTGAGATAGGCCAAGATTTCTTCTGCTTCTCCTGTGGGATAAAGAAAGTTGTTTTCTTTGCATCCCAGCTATCTGTTTCCCCTTGGGTAAACCAGCTAATGCAGGTTTTGTAATAATAGATCTCTCTGATCTAATGAACAAACAAAAATAAATCAGTTATTTTCCAGTCAACTTTTATTGTAATTGGACAACCCATCTGTACTGATTCATCTGCACTTTAATGTATGAGAGATGCTCATCTTGATAAGGTTGGATGTTGGAGCTCTTACCTTAGCTCTCTGGGTGCTCTAAGGTCTCATCAGGAATGGAATCAGTCTCTAGCAGTGGAGACAGGCAGCTTTCATCCATGAACATASTGGGGGAGGCAGAAATTTTCATGACTTCTCACTAACCCTTTTTATAGCTCCATATAAATGTGGAACAGAAGGGGTGACAGAATGGTTCCCTGCAGTTACCCCACCGTTCAGGACTTTTCAGGAACAGAAGCAATTGCAACAAGCTCTCGCRGTCTCCTTTGAGAAAATAGAACCAGTCTTGGTGAGATTCCTGCAAGGGTGTTTTCAGCGATCAGCTGAGGTCATCTCTTGATAATGTATGTAAGAGATAGGCCGGTTTCATGGAATAGCCTTTAGAGAAACTACAGCAGTTACACCTGTAGTTTTATTCATCTAACAGACCTATTTTTGCACATTAGGGCAAACATCTTCTTACTCATCAGTTCTGCTAGCCAAAGCTTGTGACTGGAGTCCTAAAGATGGCCCTGGGTCTTGCCATGGGAAAGCCAGCATGCWGCTGTAGTCCACCAAGTCAGCCTTCCTTTCCATCATCTTCCAAGGTYAGGGGTGAGGCTGGCAGAAAAGCCACCTGCCCCAGATGGTTGGAGAGCCAGCTCTGACCTTGCAAACTGCTGGATGCTAGTAGCACTTTGTGGCCACACTGTCACCAGGAGCATTCCCTCTGCTACRGGGGTAGCTCTCTAAAGGCAACCAACCTGCCCAAGCTGGTTGGTAGGCTCATTCTTTGGTCAGTAGAGACTTAGGTGAGAAATTTCATCTCACCTGTTTTAGGGGATCTATATTGAGAGCTATCTACAAAGTAATTTGCACAGAACCTCTTGTACAGAAGTATAAAGCAAAATTTGATAATGTGATATTATTCTACCCCACAGTTTTGCTTGAAATGCTATGAATTGATATATTTCTTGGTATCTTCCTGCCAGCATCACTAAGTGTTTGAATGCTTCACTAGCTCTTTACCAGCCATGAACCCCACATCATTGTGGGTGAGCTCCAACGTTTCGGCCAAGTGGCAGGCTGCTTGTTTGGGTGAGGGGAGTTCATATTGCCGTATATGTGTGCCTGCTTTTCAGTTTTGCAAGGCTGATTTGTTCTTTTGCAGAACAAGCTGACGGAGAAATCCTAGTGGCCTGTGTGCAGTCTGTCTGTGAGTGTCAGCAGCGCGGCCTCAGCTGTGCAGGCAGAACAGCTCCTGTGGAGGGCAAGGTTGTACTAAGAGCAGGTGCAGTTTGTTAAGACTYGAGCAAGAGTTAAACACACTATGTAAAATATGCTGAAGCCACCTGCAAGAAATTCTCCTGGCAGTGCACTGTTCCAGGAGTTCAGTACTTGGCTGACCTGAGATGTGTTTTATAGCTCATTTTTGTGGTATCATCATTGCTTCAGTTGCAAGCTAAAGGAAGACTTCAAAATGGTCTCTCCTTTAGCTGCCTGAAAACATTCCAGAAAGGAATTAAGAGGCTTTAAGCATAATTTGTAGCTGTTAAGCAAATTCAAAGTTACAGTCAAAGATAATTTATCAAAGCCAAACAAAATAAAGTGTACTTGCTTTAATCTTTAAGCAGTCTCTTGGGAATTCTCAGAAGTGATTTACTGGCAGCTACAGCATAAATAGAAGATAATAAAACTTTATTTACCACCCAGATTTATTTCTGTAGTTCTTAGTAGTCTTTTTTTTATAGCACGGGTCRTTTTGGTCCCCGGATGGGCTTTCAGTAGCAGCAGAGTACAGAAAAATACTTCCGAATTAGGATTATGATTTATCATTAAACAGTGTTTCAGTTTTCCAAGCAGCAGTGAATGTGGCTCAAGTGTGGGTACRAGGGGAGACTGTAACCCACGTATAGCTTCAGGGGTGTAGTTAATGAGAGAGTCTTGTGGAGGTTTCTTGGAAATTTGCATTGATATTTGGCTGTTTGTTTGTTTTAAATGTTAGTGTTTTGAGTCTCCTGTTATAAACAGGATCTCTGCGTGTCCTTTCCAKCTTATTCCAACATATGTAGTGTTATATTTCCAGAAAGTGCTAAAATGGGTTGAATAAAGCTCTATTACTTCAAAAGTTCTAATTACCCATTTGCTTTATCTTCAATTTGAGGAGACAACAGCCCAGGGTGTTTGAAGATCTTCTTTACCCCTTAATTTTTTGGCCCCTTAATTTTGTCAGCCCCCTCAGTAGGACAAACTGGAGCAGGCAGCAGCAGGCACCACACGCAGTCAGCAGCGTTTTCACCAGGGCTTTTCTTTGGAAACCTTGTGTGTGCACCACATCCTCCCTCCTACCTCCCTTTATGCTCCTGCAGTATCTCAAAGAGGCAGGAGAGGAGAGAAATTGAAGTGTCTGATCTTAAGATAAAGCTATARTGTAACCTGATAGCAGAAGGGAAAATATTTTTGTAGTTCACCCCTTGATACACCTTGGTAGGTAAGAGTAGCCTTTTGGTTAAAGCAGCATGTCCTGCTTCCTCCTCAGTTGTAATTTTTGTTTTGTTTCTACTTGTTTGTTTGGCAGCACTGTGCAGTGTTGGGATGGCTAAATAAAGGGGTTCTAGTTGTGTGTGCTTTCTAGGTTAATGCAATTTGTGCATATTTGAGGGTAAATTATTGCTCTTGAAAAATGAACAAAGATGGGTTTGGAAGCCAAGCATAGTGGCTTGGTTCCATGGATTTGGAAGTCAAACATAGTGACTTGGTTCCTCACCTACTAAATTCCTTGCAACCCTGAAATGGGTCCCCATGGGGACCAGAGGCGGCCCCAAACCTGGGCTTGGCAAGAGAGCAACAGTCACAATGTCAATGTTTGCAGAAACAGCTTAAACTCTGATTGAAAATAAGCACAGCTCGCTCCCATAGCCTTTGGAAAAAGCTAATAACTTTGGCTGCTTGAAAAATGTCAAAGGCTTGCTCCATATATCTTTGTTTGCATAAAGGASGGCATGAAGTCTATAAGCAGCCTTGAAAAATATTTCCACATTCCTGTACCTACCAGAGTTCGTTCTAGTTCATAGTTTCAAGACCAAAAATGAATCACTTCATAGCCCTGAGCAAATGTTTAGAGCAGAGGATTAAAAGTTGAAAATAGCATCACTTGTAATGGAAGCAACCAAAAAATAGAGTTGTTTGTGATGGAAGCTCATTTTTAACATTGGAGGATCAAGTGGTGCCGATTTAATTAAAGCCGTGTTAAAATGGGACTGTCGTTTGTTTGACGTTGATTCTCCGCCCCTCCAGAAAATCCTACTGCCATTTTGTACCACGTTCTCTTGTCTTGTCCAAATTAATAGATGGTTTTATTTTCTGCAGGGAATCTGAAGACTTTTATAGCAAATCGTCCAGGGTCAAAATGAATACAGGTATGCTGCTTCTATATGTTAAATTTTTCTTGTTTCTATACACTGTTGAATAAGCAGAGAAGGTTCCAACTTTATATGAATGTTCATGGATTAACACGTAGTTGCTGATGAAATTAAATTGTCAGAACATTTTAACAATGTCTGCTTATGTGCTTTTGTGTGCTCCATATATAAAATTTGCATACATGTTTTCATATGTATGAATATATATGGTTATATGACATATACATGCATGTTTAGCTTTGTGTTTAAGTTATCAGTTGTGTTAGTTATGTGTTTGTATGGCTTATGCAAAGATATATTGTGTAGTGGTGTGAAAGCCTTGGAAAAGGGATGTTAAAACATCAACTTTTCTTGGGAAAAAAGCCCAGGTGCTTTGAAATGCTTTTATTTCTCTTCTCTGCTGTCCTTCAATTAAACATATAGASTGACCTATGTTATTTGTTACATTTGTATAATCAGGAGCGGTTAACTATGTAATTAACTTGTATTTTCACTCGGAGTGTTGTAATAGAAGTGTTGTCGTTTGGACCACCTGAGGTCCTGTGCTCTCTAGAAGGTCCTCTAAAGGGCCTGTGACAACGTGCCTCGTGTTTGAGCCCGTATCACTGAGGTCAGTGAGAGCGCAGCTGGCCCCAATGGAAGTGGCAACAGGCCATTAGAGAGCAGCCTCACGAGGACCTGGCCCTGTTGGAGTCTGCTGCAAACTCAGCTGCCTGCGCGTTAGCTGCGCCCCRTGGYGAGAGGCGCTCGCCGCTCTGCGCTGCCCGTGGGGGCTGCGGAGCCCGGGCTGCGCRTGCAGGGCTCCGGCGGCTTCCGCGGAGCCCGGGCTGCGCGTGCAGGGCTCCGGCGGCTTCCGCGGAGCCCGGGCTGCGCGTGCAGGGCTCCGGCGGCTTCTGCAGGCTGGGAGGTGGCCGTGCAGCCACTCGTGGTGTGACAGCACTGTGCCCGCATTCCTGCAGCTCCCAGGGGCCCTTTGCTCTTATCTAGACTGCCCTGTTAACCGCACTTCCTGGCTTCCTATTGTCTTGGTAAGGGCTGGAATTCAGTAGCACAAGAATCTCGTGCGAATTTCTTATACTAAGTTAACATATATTGGCTATTTTGAAACTACTGCATTCCTAAATACAGTGGTAAATAGGAAAACAATGCATCTCAGTTGAGTTTGGGGTTTTTTTCCCCCACAGTTTTGATTGTTCTCCTGTGTCTCCAGCACTAACAGGTGGGGGAGCTTGTGGGGAAGGCTTTGATAGGGAGTATGTTTACTGAAATAGTATTCAAAATCTTCTCTATTGTGTTTTTTCCTAAACATGTCAGTTTGGGTAATTAGGGTAGTARTCAAAGACTCCTTCCTTAGCAGAATTGTGATTTCAGAAGTAACTCAGCTAATCATCACAAATTTGACTACGATTAGGTTGTGTATTGCGGTTCTATGAGTAAAGTGACAGATGTCATTTTATAGCTTGTGCTTTGAAAAAATGCAGATTCAGCATCAGTGATTTAAATTACCAGTTTGTGTTACTGTAACTCTGCAGCCCGAGTTAATTGTTCCACATTGTACTGAGATTTCTCCTCTAAACCAGAAAATGTAATCTAGGAAGCAGAGCATAAAGTGAACATCTATCTGTTGATAAAGTGAACAACCTATCTGTTGATAAAGTATCAGTTTACTAAGGACAAAGATGGCTGAGATGAAAGCTGTTGTGTGCATTGTTCTGCTCTGGTTGGTTCTCCTCTTGTTCAGATGTGCTCTCTGCAAACATGAAGTGACTGCAGCAGCCCTTTTAAACTGCCGGATGTTTTGCTGCTTTATGATAAGTGTTTGCTAATGATGCAATTGGATTTTGTCAGATATTGATTTGCCAGGTATGCTGCAAATTGCTTTTGCGGATAAATGTGTTTGACAGCAGCAAAGCTGGTAGACTGGTGCATATGCAGCTTTAAAAAGAAAATGTAAATCTACSGCGTGGAGAGGGCTCCTCTAATCCAGTGTTCCTTGTGGCTGCAGACTTGGCAGTGTGTCYGAGCCAGCCCCACGAAAGATATTTTTGTCTACAGAGAAAATGTTTTGAAGAGCTTTGATTTTCATTACTCAACCATATATGGGAGGGATTTTTTAGCATTTTAATTCTGTACCACAGGAAGGAAAATTCAGCAGCTCAAGGCAGCTATAAACGTGTTTGCAGAGGCAAGGCAATAGACAGAAGCTGAAGGGGTGGTTTTCAGAAGTACCAAAAGCACTTTGGCTCATCGTTCCTTTCGACGTTCAAATTGTGTCCTAGCTTAAAAATAGTAGTGTCATAGAATGCATGTCTTTTTAAACTTRGACTAAGCAATCATTAGCAGAAGAATATGCAGAAACGAACTGAAGGCTTTTAATCTACAAATCTTCAAGCTCTTTGCCTATTTCATGAGCATCACTGTCTTGATAGTTTGAGAAACTGAGGCAAAAGTTGATTAGTCTGTGAAGTTCACTTGAGATTGCAGCTCAGGGTAGATGTCCTTAATGCTCATGTTATATATCTATTCATGTAAAGCTGATGCTAGATGTGAGTTAATTGCATTGAAAAGTAACAAATGAATATAACCTAACAKGCAAAAACACATACTTTGTGACTATCTATAAATATTTTTGGCTAGAGTTTCACACAGATAGTGCTTGATAAATGCATCCAGTTTTAAAATGATTGAACAGGTCAGCTGTTCGCAGTAAAGGAAGCACATAAAGAGCAGCCAAGGTTGGAAAGAGATGCAGTTCTGAAAGCCTGCAGGCATTCTATGCTTGTTAAAATTATTAATGTAAGTCATCATGTGGACTAATGTGTTATATTTTGTCTGGGAGACAAGAATAGCAATTATTGGGTCCCTGCAGAGTGCCTGAATTGATTGTGAAGCCATTTATAGAGCACCGTAGGAAATTATATGGGCTTGATTATTCAAGCCTTCTCCTACAAAAAAGAGTGTTTTAAAATCATTATTGTTGTGATTTAGCAGCATGAAGAGACCGTCTAATACTAGGTTCCCCTGCATAGTCAGCTTGCAAATGGGCAGTAGGATAGAATCTCCTTGGTCTAAAGACCTCAGAATTTGAAAATCTGGTATAGGCCAAAGTGGGGGGAGAGCAGTGAGCAGAATAATGATCAACAAATGTTATGTTCAGCTACTGTTTCTTTCAGTTGTAAGAGCCTGTTTAAAAAGGTCCTTACACCGACTGCTTATTCCTGCTTCTTCACAGGAGGTGACTGTCCTTTCATCTGTGCCAGCTCAGGAGTTTAGGCTGCTGCCTTAACTGAACTCTTACCTTAACTCTGAATGGTGTTTAAAAATAAAAAAATACTTCTTAAAAGAAAGTGGTGATTTGAACTGGCTTCATTCTGATTTGGAACAGGCTTTGACCAATTATTAAACCCGTGCAAGCCCCAAGAAGGCATCTTGGCGATCTCAGCCACTGCCCCTAGATGCTGGTCAAGTAGAGATACAGCTCGGGGCGATGCTGCTTGTAGTGGGAGCAGATGTTGCCTTGTGCATTTGGGTGGAAGAGGTTTCCAGCACCTAGCACTTCTGGAGGGTACCAAACTGGAGGGATTAAGGAGACAAGGAAGTGAGGAAAGRTGATAAGGACTGGAGAAAGGCTAACGAGAAGTGAAGGTCAGCAAGGACAGAGGCAACAGCGACCTACAGAAGGGAAGAGAAGGCAGCCGGAGGCAAGCTGTGGTCTGCGGCCGGGTACGCGTGCAAGGGCGCTCACGCTGCTCGCTGGGAGCAAGCTGACACTGCTCACCTGCCTTCTCCTGAGAGCAGATGTTTATTCTGCACTGGCCTTRGCTCCTTTCTGTTCCTTCTCTAGAGGTAAATTTGTTCCATTGATGCAGCTTTCAGGAAAGGGGTCTCTGCTTTGCRAGGTACTGGCAGAAAGGCGTATCCTGTGGGGATGCTTACCTCCCTCTCCTTTCTCTTCTGCGGGACCTGCTAAGTGTTCTTAACGTCCTTCCCTTGGTTGAATGGAACCTATAGGGTTTGCAAAAGGATATGTATCTTGATAGGTCCAGGTTTGAACTGTATGTACATTTTGATTATGAATTATTGCCCAGCTTCATATTCAGTTATCACATCCAAAACTGAAGTGATTCGGCTCTCTTTTGTTTAAATGTTGAAACAATGCCTAGGAATACGTTACTGTCAGCCCTGAATAATTCATTATGGTAAATGAGAGATGTAAAAAGGATGGAGGATGTGGAAGGAGTCTGTGTGTACATGCATGAACATGTGCACGCATGCATGACACTTTAATACCTGCAAGCATTTYATATGGGTTGGTGTCTTGCCTCTTTTGTTTGTAGAGTAGCACTTGTGCAATACTAATTGTTTGCAGTTTGAACATGAAATGAGATGGTAATCTTTAATTTGACCTCCCTTTCATCACTGTTAGTATTTATATTAATATTTGCTGGTAATTTGATGGAGCTGTGAGCTATGGTGGCTTCTGTGTGCGGATGAGCTGAGCAACTGGAAAACTGGCATTGGGGTGCAGCATGTGGGGCTCCTCCAAGCCTTGCTCGGACATTAGGCTCAACAGGAGCCTGGCCTGAGTGAAAATGGAAGGAGAGTTGCAGCAACGCTTGCGTGCCCAGGCCTTCGGTTCTGGCTGGGTATTCTGCACTGCTCCATCTGGTGCATTTCTGCAGCTCTCTAACTGATCAGTGCGAGCTGATTCCCTTCTGTTATTGCTCGTTCACGCTGGCACTGAGTGTTGTTGCTGCAGGTGTGGGTTTGCCTATGGGTTCCTGTAGATAGCAGTAAGCATTCTGCGTATATGCAGACAGTCAACTGCAGTGTCCGTTTCTGCTTTCCTGTATGAAGCCACATGAAACACTTTGCTAGGTAAGAAGTCTATAAAACTTTGACTCACTTATATCAGAAAATCATTTAAAGCAGAATTTCTTGACGTTATGATGACAGAGTATTTGTACTATTAATTCCTTTTCTACAAGGTGCCTTCCTAAGATGCACTTTATTTTGGATGGGCTTTAGCAACACCTTTTCCTTTCTTTTTTCTTTGCCATAATTCTCTCCTCTCCTCTATCCTTAGTTTATCTCTTCTGAAATTCAGGAAGGCAGTCCTAGAAAAGGCAAATAAAATACAACTTAYCGTGACTAAACATGTGACAGAATAACAAAATTGTATGTCTAGTAGCTTATTTTAAGCCAAGTATGCTGTCTAAGCCTGGCACGTTTGCATTCCATGCCCATAATTAATTCCAGGTAAAGTCTTGCTTTATATTATTGCTGGCAGAAATGACTTGGGCTTTTGCCTCGAGTGTAAGAGCTGGCGGTGATTTCAGAACCACTTCTGCCTGGGGAGGGAGGTGACTCAGATGTTTGTCAGCATCAACAACCACTTTCCACCCATCCCAGTAAGACCTGTGGCCGGGCGCCCTGCTCTTTCGGGGGAGTGTTGGAGTGAGCAGGAGACACCAGGAGCTGCCTCTCCTTGGAGATGTGGATTAAATACAGCCCGGTGGCTCAAATTACTGATRGAATAGTAATGCTTTCTACTAATAGTAACAGGCTTCTTTTTAAGTTTAATTTTATAAAGCTTCATGTTCCTAGAACTGTATTCCTTTGAATACATACAGCTGAAAACCTGTAAGGACCACTATGATGGTTGTGTCTCCCCTTGACTCCAGTGGTGGCCTGCATTGACATCTTAGTAATATTAAAGATGCAAGTTAAAATGATGGTTCTTATATTGGAGAGCAGAAAAAAATTTTAGTTAAAGATAAGAAGAATATTGAAGCTAAATTGTGGGAAAGCTACCTACTTAATTGTAGCAAAGAATAAATAGAGAGATATGCAAGCCCCAGATGCTGTAGAGGAAACCTCCCTATGTTTCTAGTTTTTCATGGTGATTTCAGATTTCAATTTCTAATTATTCTCTCAGGAAATTATTGGGCTCCAGATATTTCCATTAGATAGAGGCAGGTTAGAACAGGGATGTTCCACCAAACTGAAGAAGTACATGCCGTTCCTAGCAATTGGTTCCTTGCGTTGAAGGGTCCAAGGAAAGGTACAAAAAGGCTCTGTTAGAAGCTTAATTTATGAATAGTGTCTTTCTAATGCATACAATAAAGTGATTTGCAGATTACTGATTAATATCACCCTGGAACGTTTAATCCTTCTTCTCGATTAGTTGTTTGTTCTGAGTAATTAGCCACAAATAAACAGTCTTGCAGCCACCAGAATGTATGTATTTACCCAGTGGATTAAGTATCAAATATTTGCTTTCCTCTTTTTCTAGGGGGTGTTTATTGCATTGAAAGCTTGCGAAAGCTTATGTTTTCTGCTGACCTGTTATTTTTGCCCATGTACATGCAGCTGCAGCGGTTCCCTAACTGCATGCTTATTTTCCTGTGTGTTTGGCCTATGTCCATGTGCGCTGTGTGGCATGTGCTTGCTCCTCCGTCCGGGCTGCTGTCTGTGTTGTTTTGTGCTTCCAGATAGCGGTGGGTGCGCTCGCAAACGCGCTGCCATGTCTGTCACATTAACAGCCGTGAAGAGAGTTCAGAGTTCTCCAAACCTGCTGGCTTCAGGTATAACAACTAACCAGTGATAAGCTGCCCCTTTCTGTCCGCACCATTTCTGCAGTATTACTCCACAAGGAGGAGAGGGGGGACCATATTTTCCATTCTGCTGACAGCCCTGTGAATTAGTTCTCCAGTGCTCCTTAAAACACAGTCTTATTTTCTGTCTGACTGCACTAGTCGGAGCGTTAAAAGTTCACACCAAACAAGTACAATAGGGGAGGATGAATGAAGGATGAGTCAGAAAATACTTGCAAAATCAAGTCTTTGTTTTGTACATCTTTTCAAGTATGAGACAACTCCACAGGAATAAAAATTCTGTTGGAATTTATGGAACAAATTTGGTTGCTCCTCTGAGGAGAGTGGAAGGGTCATTGGGATTACTTTGTATATAAACTTTAGGAAACATTGGAATTTTGTTTCATAGCAACTCTTGTCACCAATTTCTATCATTCCAGCCTATGGTGCAAGCCTCTCAGTATCTTGGGGKTTTTTTTTGCACTTACAAGTAATGATAAATAGTGCTATTGGATCTGTTATTTGAATGTATTAGATGAGTGCTTATTTTAAATGATTTTTAGCTTGTTTAAAAATGTTGCAATTTAAAATTCTTTTTAAAATATTATAATGATAAGAAATCTTTAAAAGATCAAATCTGCCCTAGATTGATAGTATGTTGGTCAGACAGCTGCTGTTTTGCTTTGGACTGACAAAGAAAGCCTAAGGATCTTTCTGTGATGGGCCACTCTGACAGGATCTGTAGGCATCCTTTAGGAATTAAAATAAGCCTTTCCAGCCCATCTTAATGGAATGATTTTTTTCCTGATATCTAGATTTAAAATGACAGAAAAAAGGAGAGAAAAAAAAAATTATTGACTGCCAGAAATAGCAGTGACTAAATAATAGTAGCTCTCAGTGCACTATCATAACCCTCTGCAGAATYTAGTTGTGCAATAAATGCCAGTTACCTGTGGCATAATATTCTGAGGCATAGTTAGGTAACAGATGGGAAACTGGACATACAAARCTCATATATGTGTATATTATATGTATAGAATAGTCTTTTCAAAATACATCATTCAAAGAATTTTCCTAGGAAAGGGAATTTGTCTTCATTTTAAAAACTGCATGTTTGACGCCATGACAAGTACTGTTTCACAAGATTAATTGGTACACTTGGAATTACACCAGAGCCTTTAAAATGGCTTCTGAAAGATATTTGGCCTTAATATGCAGTAAACTGAGTGATGATGCCTTTGAAAGACATGTATAGGAATGCTTCTGTCTCAGCAGCTGGACCTGTGGGAGAGGGGGAGTATAGCTTTTTTAGGGGGAAGGGTATAYGTTTTTCTTCTCCCATTCCTTTACCTATTGCCTGTAAGTGTCACTGATATTCCTTGAACTCATAGGTAGATTCTTTTAGTAACCATAGCTACTGCACTCTCTAAAAATATATACATATGTGCACATGTAGGTATGCCTGTATATCTGTAGGTATCAAATTCCTAGCAGGGTCCCTATAACCCACCTAAATTTTAGCTAGCTCACAGTTTGTAATGATTAGTTGCTGTTTGAATCAATAGTTTAATTATTAAAAAGAAATAAAACTCGTACAAAGATTTACTTGGTGATTTACAGATGTTTTCCAGTTTTTCGAATTTGGTATTAACCTCTTCATTGGRTCACTGTGATGAAATTAGATTTGATACCCTACCTGCAGAGTCATAGCAAAAGAACAATAAGTAAAAGTAAACATGTCTCATCACTCAGATCACTGAATATTGGGCCAAATTGTTTTCCAGCTATAAATATGTTATATGGAAATAGCCCTGTGAAAGAATCTCCATACTAGGACACCACAAAGTATTCACAAGCTAGGAACTTCGAACTAGATGCCACGTGCAATTCCTTGGTTTAAGATGTTGTCATTCTTTTTATTGTTATTTTTATTTCTGATACAAATTAATGTTGATGTTTCTTTTTTAGGTTCTGAATCTCAGTCTCCAGATTCAGGTAAATAAAACTGTTCTTTATGCYTCTATGTTTTACCAATGTAACTGTTTTGTAAATGGATGAATTACAATCATTTATTTGATTTCATTCTYCCATGTATCTACATTTCAGGAAGCACCATTAAGCTTGTAATAATAATTATAGGTGGCTCGAGACCTCAAATTCCGGGCTTGCTTGAGAAGCAGCCTTTCCTGTAACACAGTAGCATGTTGGCAGAAAGTGAGTTTTATAAGAGATTACAGGCTGCTGATTTGCCACCTTTACCTCGAGTGGCCCTTGCTGCTTCATTTTTAGACTCTTCCTCAGGCGTGCATGTTGTGCCCACCCCACTCAGCAGCCTGCTCACATATGTTTCTCACCATCTTTCAATATTTTGCCGTTGAATCTGTAACTTGCTGAAGCAGAAATGGTATTTCCCTCTGCATACTGGGACAATRTCTCGAGGCTTCTTCAGCTTAGATGATAAAGCTAAAATGTAGTTGCTTGGCTAAAAAGTAGGAGTGTCATTCAGATTAGGAAATAAGGCACACTTATTCTAGCAATCGGATCTTGTCATGAAATTGCCATGACCAGATGCCTTTATGTGAGCTGGGATGTTCTGCAAAATGTGTGGCCCAGCTGTGAAATTCAAGAATTCATCTGTTGGATGTACTTTAGCCTGCTTTGTGCAAGGGCTGAAACAACAAAATTCATTTATGTGTGTGCTGTCGAGAGCATTAAACTGCTGCCAACAGCCTTGACAATGCTTGAGTTTTCTTAATTTTAGAGATAAAAGGGGCAGCTTTAAGGTTATTCTCATACTTCCTTGATAATATCAGCAGCAGCGTTTGTTCTGCTATAGCTAAACATTTGTAGCTAAGTAGTTGGTTTGGTAGTTAGGTTGCTTGGTGATGATTGATGATAGCAATACACAGATCTACTGATCACTAAATTGGGCTTGATTCCCTCACGAAAAGCTTGGAGGTCGTRTGATGGAAGTAGAGAGACCCTGAATGGAGACACTAGCAGTTCGTCTCTCACAGCAAAAGGTTTTAGGAGTGTGCGGCCAAACCTCCAGGATAAAAGATCACCAACTCAGGTAAGCTGAACGCTCCAAGTTGCATGCTTTGACATGTGTGTGGGTTGATTTGGGGTGATATCATATACAGATGGGATACCCCTATAGAACATTATCCTGATGTGTTGCAGACGGTGCAAGTCACCTGGGGACATGCGCTGTCACGAACTGCCTTACTGCACAGATCAATTATACTCTCCCAGGGTGCACGTCTGCAGCTTAAGACAAATTGTTTCAAAGAGTAAGATAGCCCACTAAAGAGAGTAGGTGTGTACAAATAAAGCCTTTAGGAGTATTGCCAGATGTCAGAGTATTTACTAATATTTTCTGCTTCAGAGAAATGCATCTGTCACCAAATAATMCCTGAAAAAAAAGGTTTTGTAATTTTAAGGTAGATGATGTCTGCCTATTTTGCAGAATGATATAATGAGAGCATGATAAAAAAAAATGCTTGGAAGCATACTTATTTATACAAAAATGATTAACATTTCAATGTTAATACTCCTTCTGTTACTATTTTAATTCAAAAGTTTTAAAAGGCTGCGTGTGTATGTGTGAGCTGTGAATAATAGCTTGTCAGCTGAGATCATGGAGGAATTTTAGAAATAATTTGCACATATATGAGCAATTTCAGTCAGAATTCTCTTTCAGTAATAATTTGTTAAAAAAAGAAAAGACCAGAACGTTGTGGGCTCCCTTCTGATCCCACTTTGCTTTTCCCGTGAGCAAGTGGAATATTTCGTTTTCTAAACACCAGCTGTACAACTCTATACCAAAACAAGTCAGGAACCTGAACAATTTATTTTTCCATTGAGTTGAGCAATGTTGAGATGAGGCCTKAGTTCCTTTTATAGAAGATAACAGGAAAACTCAAGATTGACTTCTAACATTTACTTTCTTTCTGTTTCTTCTTCCTCAATGTTATTTTGCTGTGTGTGGATGCTTTTGGCAAATAAGGTGCCTCTGCCTCCCCCTAGAAAAGAAAGTTTTCAGAGAGCAAGAATAACTAATCACAAGGAGGACAGAATTAATCTCCCGGCAGTAACAGCTGGGCCAACTAAACACCTCCCCATAGAAACTGCCTGCTGCACTAACGAGGAGTCTGASCAGAAGACGATGTCTGCTCAGATATCTAACACAAGTGTGTCCTATGTGCAAAAAATCACCAGACCGCTGGTCCCGGWGTCCAGTGTGGGCACGAGCACCGTAGCTGGCATTAGTGCTGCTCTCTGCCAAGGCCACAGGCAGCAGGCTCAAAAGCGTAGGGTATCTGCCCTGAAATTAACCCACACACAAGACCCAGCAAGTAGCGTTGCCTGTAATGCCCAGCAGCAGCTCAAGCCTGTTGAAGTGCCAGTATTTCCACAAAGGCCTGTTTCACCTGCCTGTAACCCCGTGCCTGAGATACACACAACATCTCTTTCCGTTCAGATAGCTCCCATCCCTGACAATAAAGCAGAGCCTGAAACCCAAGAACATCCACCTAATATTTCTCCAGACACTTCAAAGATGCCTTCAAAGGATTTGGGACAAAAGTCTACAGTTCCACCTTCTGCACAGGCTGCAGAATGCCATGTGGTATATTTAACTTTTCCATCTTTTATTTTAGATCAGTCATGAATCATTTAACTCTCTGTTTAGTTTTACTTACATGATCAAAGTTAGAACCTTGTGTTTTCTGGGTAAAACTACCTGTTGAGTGAAACAGAACTGAACAAAACAAAACCTCAAGTTTTTAGAAAAGCATTTCCAAAAAAAAAAAGAAAAAAGAGAAAGAAATTTCAGCACAGTTGGTCTGGAAGGTAACTTGTTCCTGTGAGAGGTCTTAATGGAGTGCAGATGCTCAGTAGGTCATGGCTGCGTTATAGGTGAGACATCTGTTTGAGTGGTCCTTCTAGGACTTGATTTAAAGGTTTTATGCCGCTGTAGGTGCTGCAGGAATCGCATATAGATGGAAAAGGGTTATGTTTTCTTTTGTTTCCTCAAATGCAGCTCTGCCAATTTGCTAGACCCATAAAAAAGCATTTTCTGAGTCAAGTTTGAGCATTGAGCAAGGCTAGACACCACTGTCTGCTTTAGAAGGAAATAGGTAGAATAAAATCTCTTGAGTTGACCAACTCTATATCAAGCGTCACAGCACATCACATCTTCTCTGTGTACCCTGTACGGCACGTACCCTGTGCCTGGCATAGAGAAATTTCTCTCAAGCATGTTCATCTGGGAAAGGTCTCATCCACACAAGATCATATAGGAAAGATGCCAAAGGTCTCTCTGAAGGGTCTGTATGTTTATGCTGTAAGAGATGTTGTCAAGCGTCATAGCAAATATGCACACTTGTGTGTGCATGAGAGATTATGTGGTTGTATTTAAAAAAAATACCTGCAGGAGGCCAAGATTTTTCTGATACATGTTTTGCTGTGCACCAGTGATACAAATTGTGCATTTTTCTATAGTTCTTCTGCTATTTATTAGTTTAAAACAAAAGTTAACAAAACATTTCTGAGACCTCCAGCTATATATTGGAAAGAAATGTTCAAAACCATCGTCAAATGCAGCTTAGAAATAAGTTTCTATTTAAAACCTGCAGAGCAGGACATAGAGAACTTGACTCAGTAAATTTTGTCAAAAGCAACAAGTCCATTCAAGTGAAAGCCACAGTGAAGGAATAATGTCAGAAACAAATGAAGGAGCAAAAAAGCCTTTTCTGGTGAATGGGACAGTACTGTGCAAAGATTATAGGAGGCAGATTTGCAAACATTTCAAATATGGGCAGTGGTGGATGCCACCAGACAGTAAAACTCAAAAACGTGACTAATACAAGTTACGGCTTTATATGTTTTCACTTAAATAGCAGTTTGGCCTGTTCATAGAATGATGCATTTCAAATTCTCTGAAACAAAGTCCTTGACAGCTAGAAAATATTAAGGAAAACATCTTTTATCATCTAAAATAATATTTATTCAAACTCAACATGATGAACAACAATTTATTTTCTAGCTTTTCTTTTCCCGTAGACATTGCAAGGACAAATTTTGCTTTTCTGATTTTAGAATCAAAAAAAGCCAAAATTTTATACAAAGCAAGCCAAAATAATACTTAGGCTGGTATGACAGTTCTGCAAATTTATTTTTCTACTTTTCCCTTGGTTCTGTTGCAGAGACAAAGATTGGAAATATGTCAACTGCATTTCTTTGAAGAAAATGATAAAATATGAAACTGATTACAGAGATGAATTAGAATATAGTCAACTTTTCAAGCCACATCCCTTGGCTGATCTCTTGCCTGCAGAATTCAGCTGACATTTTCCCAATGTTGATGATGGAAAATATTTCTAAACATGGGTGTGAGAATGTATGTCTGATATCACAGCCAAGCAGTAGGACTAGTGGGTTTTGCTAGCTGTGTGTTAAAACAGCATATGCAAAACCGGAGCACAAATCAATGTGAGTAGTGTTATAAACTATAACATCAGGTGAGATCCCAAAGCCAATGACCTGTTAGCAACAAAGAATACAGCTGTATGTCTAAACAGCTTCCTGATGGGGATCTCTGGTTCAAATCTCAATGTCTTTTAGCTGATGCCAGAAAATTTGCCCCCCTAGCCCTGTATGTCATGGTAGTTGTGAAGTTCACTATTTGTGTCATATGGACAAGTCATCTTCCGCATATATGTGTAGTAGCGCTCCCGTTAATAGCCCTTGTTCTGGGAGCTCTACAGGGCTTTGCACAGCAGTTTCAAGCATTTGTGTATGCACTGATCATAGGCTGTCAACTCAAAATTGCCTCTTGTTAAGCTAAATCCTCGAGGATGCTCTCAGGCTCCACATTAGGCCTAACAGGAATTTTCAAAGCTGCTGTAGAAGTTCTCAAGAACAAAAACATCCCAAAAGTCAAAGGCACCATAAAACCCAACAACTCTCCCTCCACAACAGGGTTTGTGTTTGGAGGGTGAAGGGATGGGAGTAGCTAATYATCACTTCTCAAATAGTAGAGATGATGTACAGAATAGATTAAATACTGCTCACATGTGTGGGTGTCTATATATGATAGTACAAGTGCATTTATATGAAGCCAGAAAGTGTGAAAAAATACAGCTGAGCATGAAGAAACAAGAGACAGCCAGTATGTCCCATATGGTCCAGCAAGCTCCTACAGAAAGACTTTGCAATGTTCTGGAATGTATCTTGTCTGTGCTCCTGTTTGCACTTCATTTTAGAGCTCATCTGCTGGGACGTTGGGAGCAAGCAGAAGTGTGGTATGACTCACTGAGTGACATTTTATAAACACTCCTACTCAGAAAGGTTAAACCCCTTAGAGGTGTATGTATAGTGAGAAGCATTCAAGCTACTTAATATCGGACTTACTGGAACAATGCTACTGTCATGAGAGATGCTGCTCCTCTAAAGCCTGCTGCAGATATAGGGGAAATAGCCCAAACTGCATGAGCAGAGAAATTAGTAGTTGTTAATATGAGATTGTGATTGACAAATTTAGTTGTCCACACCTCCTATTAAGCACCAGTTCTAAATTGATGAAAAATTGAGCAGCATCTTCTGTAGTAAACACCTGGCATTTTTATCCTTCATTTTGTTCCTGCTTTCATCAGTGTCGCCTTGTTCTGGACACCGCTCTAAAACTGAGGCTGCAAAACCTGGCTTGACTTCCACAGATGAGYTGACACTTGGCTAATGCTGGTGTCATGAGAGGAATAGAGGCTATTAGGCTGGATGCTTAGGAAATTTTCTTTTGCCAGCTTTATAACTAACCTGTCAAACTGGCTCRAATGAGCCTAGAATTCAAAAAAAAATGTTCCTGAATTGATTTATATAATGTAGACGTTACCGTTTGTTGTGTATTGACAAGGTACTGAGTGGTGTAGAAAGCAGAGGAGACAGGCTTCAACATTGTGGGGACAGGCAGCAAGCCAAGGAAATTGAACACATAATTTTCATTTTACTTTGTGCTGAACACCTTCCCTATACTGAATTTAGAATATGCAGATTAGTAAAAATGGATATAGA